TATATATATATATATATATAAATATATGGCTAAAGTTGTTCCCGAACTTCCAATAAGGTTTTCGTTATCAAGTTACGTTAAACTTTCTACTGATTAAACAATAATTTATATTTCTAGAAATGTCGAAATAAAATTTATATGTACAGTATACAACGACACGTGTTAATGAAATCAGAAGTTAGAGCACATTTAAGTAATATCAAATTAATCAATCTGAAGTGATATCAGAAGTGATATTATCTAAACCAAAACAAAACTTGAGAGACATTTAATAAAGTTTTAACTGAAAATTGAAGAAAGTCCATCTTCCAATCTTATATACGAATATTTTCTATTCATTGAGTGAATGAAATAAAATAAACTAAAAATAGTTTGAAAATTTCATATCGAACATTTTGAAAAATCGTCACTCCACAAATTCTGCAGTTTGAGGTTTCTTTGAAACCATCTCATCATACACAGAATAATGTTCTATTTTTAGGAAAAATGTTAACTATTCTCTTAGACAGACTACATCCATAAATATAATTGTTCTGAAACGTTATAATAATTCCCTTTTCAGTTTTAAATTAGGCTTTGTTTACCATTTACAAAATCGCTTATCCTTGCTATGGGAAGGAGTTTATGGAAACCAACACTTGCTGGTTGGCCATTCGAGAAAACGGAAGCTTTTTGTTTGTTTGTTTGCAATTAAGCACAAAGCAATGGTCTATCTGTGGTCTGCCCACAACGGGTATCGAAACCCGATTTCTAGTGTTGTAAGTCCGCAAACATACCGCTGTCCACTGGGGGCTAAAACGGAACACCTCTTTAAGATCGTGAGATACAAGTATATTTCTACATGTGGTTGTAATTGCTAAAACGTTTTTATCGAGGGGAAAGCAGAAGACGATCACATATAAATAATATGAGCTTTTAATTCGAAGCTTATCTCAAAAGCAACAGATTTTGGTTTTTGCACTCCTTAATTTGAAAGCTTGTTTCCTATTTCTTAACTTATCTGGCATATTTTCAGCTCTAATAAACTTATAAGATTGTGTAAGATAAAAGCTAGTACAATGAAACACGGTATCAAGCAAGTATAAAACTAACAATAATCACTTTAATATCAGTTGGGTGGAGCTTAGTCGTTGGTCTGTCAGGCTACAAGTCAGGGGGTTCAAGACTCGTGATGTGATGCTGCTCAACACGCTCCGCCTTTTCAGCTTTTGAGCGTGTTATAAAAATGATGATTCAAAGAGCCGGACAAAGCCCTTGTGGCGCCGGATGCTGCTGGCTGGCTGACGGCCATCTGAGAATTAGTTCAAAATTGGGGACAGTTACACTTGAACCCTAGAAGGCACTGACCTGGCCGTTTATCCCTCGAGCGCCTAGGCTATCATTCAGATAGAAAGTTATAATTCTCGTTATTAGTCGTACTTTCCTAAGCTTTGATGGGTATCAGTAGAAAATAATACAATAAAGGCGAAATGGCGTTACTTCATTTAGAGAGAAATATAAAAAATGTGGGAAGACAAGTACCTCGTACTCAGTGAAGTTAATAAATAAATAAACGTGCGGAACGACGTAACTTCCTTCAGAGAGAAATATAAAAAATGTGGGAAGTCAAGTACCTCGTACTCAGAGAAGTTAATAAATAAATAAACGTGCGGAACGACGTAACTTCCTTCAGAGAGAAATATAAAAAATGTGGGAAGTCAAGTACCTCGTACTCAGTGAAGTTAATAAATAAATAAACGTGCGGAACGACGTGACTTCCTTCAGAGAGAAATATAAAAAATGTGGGAAGTCAAGTACCTCGTACTCAATGAGGTTAATATATAAACGTCTAAAGCGTTTCACCTAAATAAAGTAACTGTGCTCATTGTGGCCCATATTTGCCAGTTGATGAAGTATCTTCAGAATAAGAAAACTGACACGATGCATAATTGTTATGAATATATACGTACTTTATTTATTAATACAAAAGTATCACTTTCGACGCCAGGAAACAAAATACATTAAACAATGTTACATAGTGTACATATGAGTAGGGCAGTTGTACAAATATGAAAAACGTATTAACATAATATTGTTGACAAATAACTGAGCCACAGTTATGTACAACTCGACTGCACATAACAGTAACAGTTACAATAAACTGTACAAATATACAAAGTAAAGTCATCTCACACATAAGATTCTTTGCACTTCGTGTTACTTATGTTATTAAAGTCTGAATCAATTCTTTTTCGTACAGTTATCACTGAATCTGATCTTCCGTGACAACCCACTCTCACCAAAGTTACACAGTCTTCACCAGCACGTGCTGAAGACCTAGGAACGGGCGGTACGAAGGATTCTTGGCTATGTTTAAGGCACTGAGGCACATCTTTTGCATCATTTGATGTCCGTGAGTCAAAATAGTCTCTTAATTTGGAGACGCTCCAACTTATCTCGTTTCGCCAGTCTTCTGAGGGTCTCTTTACAAAGGGAACGCCATTGCTATCACTTACGTTCAAGTTAACAACTTCGTGAGACGGTTGTGAGCTCTGCATAGAATTTATGTTATAAAATACTCTTTTGAAAGGCTTAGGTGGAGTTGGAGGTGGTGTGAACGACTTGTTCACTGGCAAGGAAAAACTTTGAAACTCTTCATCGTAAAGTTGTAGAGAATCTTCAAGGAGATTGTTTGCTTCATAACTCTGAGTTGATCGATCAAAGAAATTTTCCTGAATGAAAACACTAGAAGTACTAGCGTCCTTGCCCGAAGCTCCGTGGTAACTAGAGAACCGTTTTAAAGATTTTTCTGAAACATCATCTGAGCTATGTAACTGCGAAGCTCTGTCTGATATCATAGGTGGCTGGGATAGAAAAGGATCTCCGGACCCACTAGATCTGCTGGAAATAGAAGGCTTAGAAGTGACTGAATGTTCCTTTGATTCGGGTGAAATTGGGTTTGAACTTGATGCAGTACTACAGATGCTTTTGACATTGAAATGATCGCGAAGGATTGCATTCAGTTCGCTAACCGAGAATAAATTCATTTCTTCGGGATTTTCTGTCGAATAATCTACATTTTTGCTCTGATATTCAGAGACAGATAATTTGATATTTCGTGAGCTGTTAGAGTTTTGAACTACTGGAGATGATGAAGATTTAGGATGTAGTAATGTGTCATAATTGGATTCAATTTCATCCTCGTCTTTGATCTCCTCAGTTACACACACTTCAGGCAAAATGATTCGTTTGGAGCAAAAGTATTTGTCTTCATTCTGTTTAGAAGCAAAATCCTGCTTGTTCTCTTGTTCTCTTTGGAAAACAGAATAACTTCCCTGGTTGATAACGTCGTGTGAAGGAGAGGTAAGAATCTCAGGATGGTGACACTGGTTATGAGGTAAATTATCTTCAGAAGCAGTTCGTCTCAACGAAGGTGCACATCCCACATCGTTCATTTTTGTGGATGATAAAACGGACCCTATCGATTGAACACGTCTTTTAGCCTCTGATGGACTAGCACCAGCATCGAGTGCTGGATGAAGTAAGCAATATAAAAGTGTATTTCCTATTCCATAAGGTGGAGAATATTGGAGCGGATGGAGATGGTGATAGTAAGATCTAGACTGCATGTTATGTCTAAAATGACTTCGCAGAGGAGAAGAGTTGGCACTTCCCGATCCTCTAAGACGACAGTTTTCTTGTTCTTGTTTCCGCTTTCTCATAACCTTATGACATGATCCATCGATACTGACCACAGCGTCTTTAGACGAGTGGTTCACAGCTTCTAAGCCTAATAAATCCAAGTTGGGCGCGCTCTTAACTGTCTGTTTACTGTTATGTGTAGAACCTCTAGAATCTGTATTTTCATCATCACCTTCTGGCGTATACAGTTGTGTGTCACTGAGTGTCAGACCGGAATCTCGACTAAGGTTTGTTAATGAGATGTGAATCTTGTTTGGTAGTTTCGCTATTGTTTTCTTCCCTTCTAGCAGTTCTCTCTCCAGACTGTCAATGGAGGAGTTATCTTGACGACATCCTACAGAAGATGAAGAGCATTATAAAGAAAGCTGGTTATCTCAGACTTATTTAATTCCTTTATTCTACTCCGGTTATAGTTATAAAAAGTTTACAACTGATGTTTAATACATAATTCTTATAAATAACCTATTACAACACAAGTATGTAATAAAAAAGATAAACTGTGTTTTAGTCGAAAAACTTCATTTTTTAACTACATAAGCTTAACTATAAAAACTAGATCATCAAAACATTTAAGTAAGTGAGGAGTATATAAATGAAACTAGGAAAACAAAACTTTTCTATATTGATAAATTATAAAAAAAAAACTATCGTTATTGGTGTTTTTTTTCCTGTATCCTACCAATAATTATGATTATAAATCCACATTAGCCCAGATGTTGGAAACTTAAGCTGTAATCGTTTTACTCTCAATTATCTATAACATTGAAATGTATTTTGTAACTTTCATCTTTCAACATTGAAAGATGAAAAAACAATAGTACCTTATATTATCATTTTTTAAACCAGATCACTGGTATGATTATTAACTAAATATCACCTGAATTAAGCTGAAAATCGAAATAAGTAACCCAAAAAATATATCCCAGTAAAACGATAACAATCTTAAATATCGCATTTATCCAATTTCTATAAGTTGAAGTCAAGTTATTTTATGCCTTTAAAATTGAATTTCGGTTTTGCTGAACAATTTATGTTGTTATTTCAGCAAAAATCTGGGTACTTTTAATCTATACTTCTAGAAACATACTTATTAGATAAGCTACAATTTTTGGCACTTGTTTTGAAAACTAAGAATAAAACAATTAAAACACAAGGTCACTTGTTATGTTACATATTAAAAAGCTGTCAGTTAACCGTGTGCTCGTAGCTGATTTAAGCCTAAGTGAAATCTGCTAAAAAGGCTGAATCCCGTAAGGTGCTCTTGGGTTTATGGCTGAAAAATCCGTTGTTCAGAGCGAGAATACCTAACTAACAAGTGGATGTGAATGTTATTATTGTAACTTTTTTATGTAAATTGTATGCACATGTATACTCTGTGTACATATGGTGTAGGTGGTACATGTATATATAAATAGTGATACGTATGTTTATATGCCTATACAGGTGTGTATGTCCAAACTAACCTGTATGTATTAATTCATGCCTAGTTTGTTTATGTTCAATAAAAGGAAGATAACTCAGCATTTCCTTTTAATGCCAATAAGGCTTACAAAGCATAAAGAAATTTATTTTTTAACATCTAAAATCTTCACTCCACTTAGCGAAGCAGATCGAAATATTATACTCCATGTCACATTTCCTAATTCGTATATTTCTTTATTTAGGCTTTAATAAGCCTACATCTTGAGTAAAACTTAAAAAAGCTGGGTCGTTTTCTTTTCATTATGTCGAACATAAACTTTTACAGCAATATTTACAAACTAAAGCATAAAAAGACTATCCTAACCTAACGTAACTAACCTTCAAACTCTTGTTGACTATGAAGGCTGTCAGACTCTTCTGCTCCCGAATCATTCCGGAGGATGTCCTTGTCCAAAACACCAAAGAGCTGCACGCACTCTTTACCAAATAATTCTGGAAACTTACTTATTAGATAAGCTACAATTTTTGGCACTTGTTTCGAAACCTAAAAATAAAACAATCGAAATACAAGGTCACTTTCTATGTTACACATTTATCAAAAATGTCACATACAGAAATTGTGTTATAACGTTAAAAATGTACACAGTTTAATCTAGGTAAAAAAAAAAGTCACGCACAAAACATTACTGTATAAATTGACATAATTGTTTGGCTTGTTTTGAATTTGGCACAAAGCTACACGAGGGCTATCTGCGCTAGCCGTCCCTAATTTAGCACTGAAAGACTAGAGGGCTCAGCTAGTCATCATCACCCACCACCAAATTTGGGCTACTCTTTTACCAACGAATAATGGGATTGACGTCATATTATAATGCCCTCAAGGTTGAAAGGGAGAGCATGTTTGATAGGACGGGATTGGTTAATCTAATAAGTTAATCTCATAATAAATAACATGGAGAAAGCGTATTTCATTACTGCGTTATTAAGTTCATAAATATACATTTTAACCTAATTAAATACGATGTCACGTAAAGTGGCCTTTAATCAGACGCAAAGTTGGACAACAAATAACGAAACTATTTATAAAATAATGATTACCAACTGGTTTGTACATATTTTAGTAAAAACAGGTTTTGAGTTCTATTCTTTAATTGTATAACATTTGAACACTAGAACGTGCTATTGTGCAAATATCTGCAAAAAACGTTAAACATCCAATTGTCAAACAAAAAAAAAATCATGAGGGAATCCTCAATAACCTCGCCACTTGAAATTATTTTAGGCAGGATTACATTAAATTAATCTATGATGCCTTTGTTTCCCTTTTTTTATCAGCAATATTTTTGTGCGTGGGGCGCGCGTTTACCCGATTCGATTTTACCACTCATCAGGATCTTAACCAGCCTACCCTGAAATTTAAATTCTTTTAGGCAGCATTAGAATAAATTAATCTATGAGATCTTGGGCGTGGTAAAATATACATTAATCGAAAGGGATTAACTTACTGAATCCAAAACTGTAATTAGATCTCAAATCAGTCAAGAGATGACGGAGCTATGAGCTCAAAGTTTGTACTCGAAAAAAAAAAAACTCAGAGCCATTCTATGAGCCGCTATGCCGCGGCTAAAAACCTTTATTTGAAAAACGAAAACTTCAAGTTTATGTATCAAGAATTTCGGTAAGAAACTATATTTAGTGTTAAAATTGAATACTTTAATATCTGGATTGAATTACAATATTTTTGGTGCATACCGAAAGATTTTAAATACTCTAATATCTGGATTGAAATACAATACTAGTAGTTAGGACCTCACTTGCACGCCAGAGGACGATACACTTGTGTTGACCTGAAGAGGGAGGGAAGAGGGACAGTCAGTTTATTTACGGATGTGAAGTGCATGATATATAAAATAAAGAAACTTTGATTACTTTGGAGAATAGCTCGTATGTTTCATTTATGGTCAATAATAACATGCTTGAACAAGTATAATAGTACAGGTATTATTACATTGGACTGTAAGTCAGTATTTTATAAACTAAGATGTTTCTGTAAGTAGAATATTAGTGTATCTTGAAGTTTTGTTAACAAATGTTTCAGTATGTGTTATACTTAGGACTGAGATTTTAATTACATATACTATAAATAGTATATCAGGCTATGACGAGATGTGTTTTTTATATAAGAAAATCACAGAGCACTGATTTGTATAATTTGTAAGTGAAAAGATAAGTTATCTTACCGTAACAGTTTCAAAATCTATGTGAGGAAATATCTGCTTTGAAATAGTCTAGTTTTTTCTGAGTTTACTAACTGAAATCTTACTTGATTAGTTTGTATTGAATTATTTATTCATTTATGTAGTGACATGTCTTTAGTACGAAGTTTCATGTTAATTCAGTTTGTTTTCACATTTTTGACAGTCAGTTCAGTTACGGATTTCAAGAGCATGATATGTTTTGTATGGTTTCTAAAATAAAGAAACTTTGATAACTTTGGAGAATGCCTTTATGTTTCATTTATAGTCACTAATAACGTGCTAAAACAGATGTATACAGCAGGTATTATTACATTGGACTGTAAGCCAGTATTTTATAAACTAAGATGTTTTGGTAAATATATCTTGAAGTTTTGTTAACAGATGTTACAATATGTGTGATACTCCGGTCTGAGGTTTTACTTACATATACTAAAGATAGTATATTAGTCTATGATGAGAAGTGTTTCATATAAGAAAATTACAGAACATTGATTTGTAACTGATGATTTTTATATAATTGATGATCTATCTATAAAGTGTAAATGACAAATAATTCACGTAGCATTACTGTTTCAAAACAATATGAGATATTTGAAATAATAATTAGGCATTAGCGTGTAACAAAATGTCACACATTTCACCCGTTTAATTAGATATTAAAAGTAGAATTGAATCGGTCTTTCATTTTCAAGTATTATTATAAGCCGAATGATACAGTCTTATCGTTTGCTGTACGTAGGGCACAGTATGCAGTAACTGTATGCTAACTGAACTGTCCCGTTAAATATTGAGAATATACATTTAGTGTTTTGTATCACCATGTAAAGGAAAAGAACTATGTTTAATGACTTTTAAATTTAGTGACATACAAAAACTCTAGTTAAAGTATGGTGAACATTACGTTTCTGTGGAGTTTATTTTCAATATTAAGTATAATGTAAATGCATAGATAGCGACAGAGTATCATCATTGATAATCACATTTTTAGAAACGTACAGTCTAATTGAACACAAAAAGTGTATTTAAATGAAATGCATCAATACACATTTAGAGATTTGTAAAGTGAACATTCAATTTATGTAGAGTTTATTTTCGATATTTTGTATATTATAATTGACTTTTATATTAATAAAAGTTTTCTGTATGTTCAAACGAAAGTGTTATCTGTTTTAGCTAATACTAAAGGTCAAAACATATTTCTAAACTTGACGTTCTACCCTGTATATTTTCTAAAATCAAGCCGGTCAGTAGCCTTGAATATCAAAGATGTCAGACTGTGACCAAACTAAACATTGAATTCTACCAATCCCCTCTTTTCTTAGTAAAAGGTCAACATACTGCCAGCTGTAAGCAGATGAAGTGTTGTTATTTGTCGGTTGTATGGTTTCAGTGTTAACGACGTCAGTTAGAAGGAACACCAATGTAATCAACTTTGTAGATCATACTTGAAACTGTGGTTTTGAACATGTATGTGATGTAAGTTACATCTCTAATGTAGAAGAAAGTTCAGTCCTCAAGGATTTATTTTAAAAAAATGGTAACTGTTACTATTCTATAATAATGATTAATCACATTTATTATGTAGTAAAATGATTTACTACAGAGTTTATTAACAAACGAAAACTATAATATTTAGGTATGATAAAATTCTTTCATGACAGATTATTGTGAATTATTTGTTTTGTTCAAATGAATGTTTGATAATAACTGACATGTGTAACACTGTTACAATAGTTTTATCGTTAAATAATAATTTTACTTAGGACATTGATGACGTAATCGCATGTTGAGACACATTGAAAACCAATTTGCTTTAGTAACACAATGTATACGTGTCATCAACCTTATGAATATCATAAAATCAAACTAGTGAAACAGTAAATTTTAAATCGTTGCATGATATTTAAATAAACGTCTTTTTCAGGATGATTCACATATAAATGATCAGGAAATGTAAAAGTATGACTAAGCTGATTGTTTTAAAGTAAGGTTGTTTCGGGTTTATAAACTAAGTTCGTGTGTGTGTGTGGACAATAATGTATATATTATGCTTCTTATCATTGTCGACATGTATTGAAACGAAAACTTCTATCTAAATTTGGATCCCACAGAGATAGTAATGATATCTTTGTTCATAATTTTGTTGTAAAACGTTTTCATATAAATGTGTCCTTAATAGACGAGTCTTGGGCAGCCTAGCAACGCGCCTTTTGGTGACATTTTGTGGAACTATGACATCATCGTCTTTGGTGTCATAATCGACACACGTGTATCGCCCTCTGGCGGCGTGACTGGCAAGTGGGGGGGTCCTAACTACTACCGAAATATTTTAATAACTCTAATATCTGGATTGAAATACAATACTTTTGGTGCATTCAGAAATATTTTAAATACTCTAATATCTGGATTGAAATAGGATGGGTCATACAGAAATATTTCTAATACTCTAATATCTGGATTGAAATACAATACTTTTGGTGCATTCAGAAATATTTTAAATGCTCTAATATCTGGATTGAAATAGGATGATTTTGGGTCATACAGAAATATTTCTAATACTCTAATATCTGGATTGAAATAGGATGATTTTGGGGCATACAGAAATATTTCTAGTACTCTAATATCTGAATTGAAATACAATACTTTTGGTGCGCACCGAAATATTTTTATAACAAAAAGTATTTCTCCCATACAATAATGATGTCTGTCCTCTAATATGATGTCAAGTTTGTGTTTTTAAATTCAGACATTCTCTGCATTTCAGATGCAATACATACCTAATACTTTTTTCTACCTAATATAAACTTAAATAATTCATTCACAGATCAGTTCCACATAAAAACCATATTTCAAGCGGTTTATGTGTGACAAAAGTAACGTTACATCACTGACCTCAGGCTGGGGCGCTGGCTGTTTCCTTCTGGACACGGAAGGAAAAAGCATACTTGGGCCCACACATACGGCTAAGTTTTCAGCTGACATCTTGTTTATGGTGGAATGTTGAGAAATGTGCCACAAAACACACAAAAAATGTTGTAAAAGTTTCGTATTGGCTGGAGAAATTCGACCTAAAAGCCTGAAAAGAGTGCAAAATAGTAATATTAACAAACCATGCTGCATGTCAGTTTTGTATGTATCAAAGCCTTTGTATTTCATTGAATCAAGAAAACCCAAGATTAAATAATTTAAAACGATAAGGAGAACACCAAATACAAAATTAGTTTGTTTGTTTTAAATTTCGCGCAAAGCTACACGAGGGTTATCTGCGCTAGCCGTCCCTAATTTAGCAGTGTAAGACTAGAGGGAAGGCAGCTAGTCATCACCACCCACCACCAACTCTTGGGCTGTTCTGTTACCAACGAATAGTGGAATTGAACGTCACATTATAACGCCCTCACGGCTGAAAGAGCGAGCATGTTTGGTGGGACGGGGATTCAAACCCACGACCCGCAGATTGCAAGTCGAGTGCCCTAACCACCAGGCCATGCCAAGCCTTTTTTTAAAGAAATGATGACAAAAACTACTCCAAACATATAATACTTTATCCGTTTTACTTCTGCAGTAAAACTCATATAAAAGAAGGACATATGTTGAAATGTCAGGTAAATTAAGTTACTTCATATTATGAATTTGTACAAGCCATCATTCCTGTATATGATTTCAATCCTTCAGTCTGCTCTTCAAGCTTCAAAAACTTATAAACAAGACAACTACGTACTTCATAATTTGATTTCTTTTCTCCCATTCGTCAGCGGTGTTTGCTGTTTCTATCCAGTCTTTATAAGCACTGGATCCAAGAACACAGTCAGGAAGACTTCTCAGAAATTCCTAACAATAAATAAATCCATGCTTATTACAATGATCACTGCATAAGAATAACGGGGATATAAAAAAACATCTAAAAACTTTGCTTGGAATGAGTAAGCATGAAAGATGACATCCTCTACGTTCAACAATGTCATTCAAGTATAAATCACGCATGTAAAACAGAAAGTATAAGAAATGCATAAATATCTATACAATCCATCATACTCAATTGTTTAACTTATAAACTCACTAAAGACTTAGAATTCTACGTTTGGAGATTCTATTTCACGTTTTCCCAACAATAGTCTCTTTCAGTAAGTAAAAAATCTGTCAACAACCAAATACAGTTCACTGACAGTCTCATCTGGTTTTAAAAAGCTTTTCCTAGTTTTATAACTTTTCGTCGCAAGTTTCCATTGGAGAAATAAAATCCTATTGAAACTAGCAGAAGCTAATGTTTCTTAGGATACACAGATCTTCATAAGAATAAAACCATTGATTTGTATGTTTAGCTCATTAAGTTACTATAAAGACTTCAACTATTAGCTTGTTACATCATTATACAAGCTTCAATTGTATACACGTTAATTCAATATAAAGACTTCAATTATTATCTTATTACATCATTATACAAACTTCAATTGTATACATGCTAATTCACTATAATTATGAGCTTGTTATATCACTATGAAACTTCAATGATTAGCTTTGTACACCATTATAAAGACTTCAAACATCAACCTATTAAATTACTATACAAACTTCAATCGTAAACTTGTTAATTGACTTTATTCTGTTACCTCAAGATACAAATTTCAATTGTTGGTCTCTTATATCCCAAAGTGTTTCACTGAAGTAATGGCCACAATGTTTAAGCCTCTTACTTTGCTATAAAACATTAATTATTAGCTTGTTACGCCCTAGTCTGCATAAAAACTTCAAGCTTGTTAAGTAGTTTTAAACAGTTAAAAAGTTTAAGTCTGTTGACTCACTTTAAAGAGAGCAGCTAGAATGGAAACTGGCACGTCTTTAAAGTCAAAGTTTGGGTTGGCTTCCAGTTTTTCTTTCAATTCTCTACACATTCTGGTGTTAGCAGACTTACGGAAGATGCCAACAGTAAACGGTCCCCTCTGAAAGAGCTGGTTTAAAATTGCCTAGAAAATAATCGGAGGAGAATGAATACTCAAAGAACGTACGAAAGAATAAGCAACATGTGAACTGGTGCAAAAGACTAAAATGAATTCACAAACACACAAAATGTTTGCTTACTGAAAATCTTGACGAAATATCAGAAGTAGATAGAAAATATAGTTTTCATTGTAGTACGAGCCTCAGAAACGTTTCGTGTTTACTCAGACACATAAACAGAAGAGACAGGAAATCAATACTTTACTATGAAATTTCAATAGTACGTTATATCGCGATGCGATGTGTTTTAGGTTAAGATAAAACATTACACAGGTTTCATCATACCAGCACAGGTCTTGGCAAATTTTCGTCACTCCAGAGTTTTGAGAAAGACTTAACAAACGTGGAAGAGGTGGGAGAAGACGTCACATCTCCGTTGGAATTCTCCTGTTTATTGAAATGACGTTTGAAAGGCCATCCTATTAACGTTGGTCTTCTTGTTCTTCTCTTGTGATTTGTAGCATCTGCAAAATAAATCAACAATAACATTATAGAGTTTTTTTAAATAGATAGTTTCGTTTAACAGCTCGTACTCAAAGCACACGTTTTTCTTTTCTAAATGCTCTGGCTCACTTCACGAATATATATATATATATATATATATATATACAGTATATACCTACAGCTGTGAGAGGCTTATCTTACTACAGTATGGTGAAACACCCATTTTAGTGTGCTTCAAACACATGGGATGTTATGTATAGTTTTGACAGCGATGGGTCTAGCCCATATGAGTAATTCTGATATAGAACAAATAGACCTCTTAGGAAGTTCCACCCACCCACCCCTTTCCAGTGGCTCAGCGATAAGTCTGAAGGTTTATAGTTTGTGCTTGATGACTAGTGTTTGTTTGTTTGAAGTTTCGCACAAAGCTACATAATGGGCTATCTGTGCTCTGCCCACCACGGGTATCGAAAACCGGTTTCGAGCGTTGTAAGTCTGCAGACATACCGCTGTGCCACTTGGGGCGCTTGATGACTAACAAACCTACTTAGGAAGTGACTTGTGGCAAAGATGTGAAGCGTTACTTTTATATACATCTTTAATTCAATATGTGTAAAACATTAGACAAGACGAAGCTAAAGAAACAGCACCAACAATCAAACATGACTTAACTTTATCGGTTAAATAACTTATCCACTTTATTCGAGGACAGACAGAAGGAAAGACCTGGATAGATAGACGGGTAGCTAAACAAACCCAGACACATCAAGAGAACGCGAAATCGAATGTTAGTAAAGATGATGAACACATAAAAAAAATTAAACATTGTTAGCAGTTGAAACACAGTTCACATATTTACCTGTCAGGGCAGATGACTCATCTGTGGGAGACTGTCGTAAGATGAAAATACATTTCGTTTCAGAAGTGACACTAAACTTCTGTAAATCGAAGTTTGAGTGTTGCAGTAGCTTACGGACAAAATTCATCTTAATGTAGAAAGGAAATTCATGACCTATTTCCAGTAGATAAAAACATATTTATTATAAAGTACAAATATTAACACATGAATTATTTGCTAAGAAAGAAAAACCACGAAGTCCGTAACTTATTGATGTTTTTTTAACTGAGAATGTACATATATATGAAATTAATTTTTATACATGAGCTCAGTTTGAAATGTATTTTAAACATTCAGCAGTGAACACTTGGGGACCTTTGAGAAATAATGATTTTTCTAGTTCTTATCGTCACTTAAATTACTATTTGGTTTTTATAAAGGAAATGAGTTTGTTTGTTTTGAATTTCGCGCAGAGCTACACGAGGGCTATCTGCGCTAGTCGTCCCTAATTTAGCAGTGTAAGGCAGCTAGTCATTACCACCCACCGCCAACTCTTGGGCTACTCTTTTACCAACGAGTAGTAGGATTGACCGTCACATTATAACGCCCCAAGGCTGAAAGGGCGAGCACGTTTGGTGTGATGGGGATTCGAACCCGCGACCCTCAGGTTGCGAATCAAGCCATGCCGGGCCAAGGGAAATGAGACTAATTTATGTTTAACTCCTGGACTATTTGATGACTCTATGTTTGTCCTTAGGTGAAACAAGTTAGTTATATATGTGTATATGGATGTACAGTTATGTAATTGAGCCATAAATTTATGTTTAACTCCTGGACTATTTGATGACTCTATGTTTGTCCTTAGGTGAAACAAGTTAGTTATATATGTGTATATGGATGTACAGTTATGTAATTGAGTCATAAATACTTTTCTTTCAAATCCACAATGAAAGAAATTCCTTATTCTAACAAACCTCGGATGTAAAATAAATAAAGTTGTGACACTAATACGTAAAGATTTCTAATTATAAAATATAGTAATAATTCTGAATAAGAGATGGCGCTTATATTTGTATTAATCACTGACATAGCATATTTTTTAATTAAACTGATATCAGAATACGTACAGATTATCCAAAACAAATTTGAAGACTAAAATTTTAAGTATCACAGTCTACATTGTTTTCAAGGTGTTTTAAAACGTAAAATTTTATAATATTATTCCCCTTTACCCTTTAAAAAAAATTCGCCTGCGACCTAATAATGAAATAAACCAACACAAAAAAAATAACAATTTTCATGAAATGTGTTCCGTTTTTCACACATACCTATTAGTGGATATGGAGTTTCGTCTTTTCCGGTCTTGACCCACAATTGAAAGTCTTCTGTGCTCAAAGACTGAAATGATCCGTATTTTATTAATATTTTGAACATTAAGTATAAGTGACTGTTCATCGAAATTTTTGTGAACAAATTGGGCGATAACCACATCTACTGTTAAAAAACAATTAATTAAAAAATATCATACATGATATTCTAGTCTTGCTGTTAAATAACAAACAAATTCCATAGATACCCTAATCTTGTTGTTAAAAACAAACAAATTCCATAGATATCCTAACCTTGTTGTTAAAAAACAAACAGATTCCATAGATATCCTAATCTTGTTGTTAAAACATAAATGAATTCTATATGATATCTTAGTCTTGTTGTTAATAAATGAACGAGCACTGTGTAGTGTCCTAGTCTTGCTGTTAATAAATGAGTACTGTTGTGAGATACTATTAAATTGCATAAAATAACCTCGTCGTCTTGAAAACAAATGAATGAACACTTTGTGATGTCGTTATCATACCGTTATACATTTTTAAATTCTGTGTAATAGTCTCATCTTGCTATTGACAAATTTATGAACACTGTGTAGTGTTCTTGTCGTATTATTAGATATTGTCGAATCCTATGCAATAATTTTGTCTTCCTGTTAACATGTTAACGAACACTCTGTAATGTCTTTGTCGTACTATTATATATTATAGAATCATATGTAATAAGTTCTTACTGTTAGCAAGTTAACGAACACTCTGTGATGTACTTGTCGTACTATTAAATATTATAGAATCATATGTAATAAGTTCTTACTGTTAGCAAGTTAACGAACACTCTGTGATGTACTTGTCGTACTATTAGATATTGTAGAATCTTATGTAATAAGTTTTTATTATTAACAAGTTAACGAACACTCTGTGATGTACTTGTCGTACTATTAGATATTGTAAAATCTTATGTAATAAATTCTTACTGTTAGCAAGTTAACGAACACTCTGTGATGTACTTGTCGTACTATTAGATATTGTAGAATCTTATGTAACAAGTTTTTACTATTAACAAGTTAACGAACACTCTGTGATGTACTTGTCGTACTATTAGATATTGTAGAATCTTATGTAACAAGTTTTTACTATTAACAAGTTAACGAACACTCTGTGATGTACTTGTCGTACTATTAGATATTGTAGAATCTTATGTAATAAGTTCCTACTATTAACAAGTTAACGAACACTCTGTGATGTCCTTGTCGTACTATTAGATATTGTAGAATCTTATTTACTAAGTTTTTAATATTACCAAGTTAACGAACACTCTGTGATGTACTTGTCGTACTATTAGATATTGTAGAATCTTATGTAACAAGTTTTTACTATTAACAAGTTAACGAACACTCTGTGATGTACTTGTCGTACTATTAGATATTGTAGAATCTTATGTAACAAGTTTTTACTATTAACAAGTTAACGAACACTCTGTGATGTACTTGTCGTACTATTAGATATTGTAGAATCTTATGTAATAAGTTCCTACTATTAACAAGTTAACGAACACTCTGTGATGTACTTGTCGTACTATTAAATATTGTAGAATCTTATTTACTAAGTTTTTACTATTAACAAGTTAACGAACACTCTGTGATGTACTTGTCGTACTATTAGATATTGTAGAATCTTATGTGATAAGTTTTTACTATTAACAAGTTAACGAACACTCTGTGATGTACTTGTCGTACTATTAGATATTGTAGAATCTTATGTGATAAGTTTTTACTATTAACAAGTTAACGAACACTCTGTGATGTACT